CAGGCAGCATAAATTTATCTACGCCAGGGTTCCGTTCATTTCAGTTCTCCAACAGTTTAGACATTTAAGCCACTGGAAAAATAAATAAATAGCGTATTGTGCCAGGCATTATAAAAATTAAGGGAAAAAAATTGAAACCTAGGAAGCTATTTTCCTTCAGCAGCCAACGCAATTAGAAATGAAGCAGCAAGCAAATCTTTCAAAAAGGGATCTCTCTTCTTTCGTTAATTGAAAAGTAAACATCTTAGGTCTCCTTGAATATCCGGAGTTACTAAGACAACAACAGCAACACCCCTGGGAAGAAGAAAAGAGCTTGGCTGCTTGTTGAAAACCCAATTTGTTATTTTTCTTTGCACTTAACCTGCACGTGGCAGAACCACACAGGTTTTCACATGTACATTAGATTGAATAATATATGTGGTGGGAATGTATATAGGGCCTAACCCCGATTATCCTTCTCTTCCAAAAGTAAAGTAACCGATTGTAAGCCAGGGAATACCTTTTGCAGAGATTTAAGCAAATGCATTGCTTTGCAAGCCTTTAAATGCCACTGGGGAGACATGGGTTTGGTCAGAGAGGAAGAAAGGCTGTGTGAGGGGATAATGGATTTATTACAGGCATTCTGTCTCACACAGCTGGGGCAGGAGTCCAGGAAGTGAAGGTCTGGAAGGAGGTGTTGGAGGCTTAGATAAAAGGTCACAAACTAGTCTCTCTGAGAATTTTAGAAGCCAAGTAGGGCTTGGAGCCCACTGCAAGTGGGACCATGAAGGAGGTCTTCAGGACTTGCTGTTTCTGTGAAGCCAGCTGCTGCTTTGTGAGCCCCCCCACCAAGCAATTGGTGGTGGGCCCGGGCTCTGTTGGCCAAGAAGAAGAGCTGGTACAGAGTGGAGGGGGAGAGAAACTTCTAGACAAAAGTTTCCCTTGCATGTCGCTGTATCTGTCAGAAGGTAACGGCCGCTGCCTCGCTCTGTCTCCCGGGTCTCCTGGAAAGTCCTCTCTGCTCATTTTAAACTGGAACCACACAGGAACCGGGACACTTGGTTAAGCTCCCACCTTAACCAAGCTGACCTAGCACACGTGTAAGTTCTTACAATTAATTTTACAGATGAAGAAACTAAGGGCCATGTAGGTAAATTGCCTACACTCACATTACTACCTGGAAGCAGAGGGCAAGCTCAGAATTCAAGTCAGAGGGGTCATCTTCTACTCCACTATCATGTCTCTCATCCTTTGTGGTACTTAAACACTCTAAAGGGTTTCAAGAAAAGAGAAAAATTTCATGCATCACTTCTGAGTTCCTTCCCTCGGCTAAGAGTCTCTGAGTAGCCTGTGTACCATCAGTAGGCCTAAATCACTCTATCTTGCCCAGACTGTCTCTGGTCACCTGGGGCTCTTTGATAAGAAGTTATGCCTGTGACCACCAGACCTCAAAATCATTAAGTAATGAGATATGAGCTATTAGGCATGTGATGGATCGTCTTATTTGGGGTGTAGGATTATGTGAGAACTTGCCCAAAGAGCACTGTTGTTTATCATAGAAAACATCAATAAATACTCTCCAAACTGCCTAAGAAATTATGATGTCCACATATTTGATCATTTTGTTTATACTTCAAAACAAGCACCAGAAACTCATAATAGGTTTGTAAATTTTCTCAGAAACTGGCAAGGAAGAGTGAAATTAACTCTCATCTTAGTGTCAGAAAGAAATGATAATCATTCAAACAGAAGCAAGGCACATCTCCTTCTCAGTCTTGAAATATACTCCAGGAAGTGACCTTTATCAGAACAGGCCTCAATTTCACTCTCCTTCAAAACACTGATCACATGGTTTAATTTTCCCCTTCACAAAACTGTGATGCCAAAGTTAGGGTAAAGTCAGAGGCGATTCTACTCTGACAATTATTTTCTGCAAATATGACTGGACTAAAGCTTCTTTTGACCTTAACACCTTTGATTAACAAGAAAGGAGACTTGTGACATTTTTATAGGGAAAAAAAGGGTGGATAAATCATACAAATTGCTTCTAGCCTGTGCATTTGTTTTAAGGGAAGCGGAATGAGAAAAGACTTTCAAATGATTTTATTTTTTTTTAATCTGAGAAATAGATTTCATATGTCTATCTTCCAAACTCACAAGGCCCATTAAAAAAAACAAATGGAGTAAGTTACTTCTTGTGTTTGTTTTTGTTTGTTCATCATTTAGCTGGATTTTATTTTAAAGTTGCAGGTAAGGACAATAGGGCAGAAAGGTTTTAGGATTTTTCTTTAGTGAATTCACTGCCTAAGATCTCAGTCTATCTTCACTGTAATCACCAGACTGCATGTTACCTATTTTAATTTTGACACATAAAAAGGGAAAAGATGAGGTCAGAATAAAAGGGAAAAAAGAACATCTATGATATAAACAGAGGAGTCTGGAGGGCTACAGTCCACAGGGTCGCAGAGAATCAGACAAGACTGAAGCGACTTAGCATGCTTGCATGCTTGCATGCATGGCATAAACAGGGCTTCCCTGGTGGTTCAGATGGTAAAGAATCTGCCTGAAATGCAGGCGACCCAGGTTTGATCCTGGGGTTGGGAGGATCCCCTGGAGAGGGGAATGGCAACCCACTCTAGTGTTCTTGCCTGGAGAATTCCATGGACAGAGGAGCCTGGTGGGCTACGGTACATGGGGTTACAAAGAGTCTGACAAGACTGATTGACTAACACTTTTGCTTTCATAACATAAACAACTTGTGGTTAATTGCAAAAGACTAATTAATACTTGGGCTTCCCTGATAGCTCAGTTGGTAAAGAATCCGCTTGCAATGCAGGAGACCTTGGTTGGATTCCTGAGTTGGGTAGATCCACAGGAGAAGGGATACGCACTCCCGTATTCTTGGGCTTCACTTGTGGCTCAGCTGGTAAAGAGTCTGCCTGAAATGCAGGAGACCTGGGTTCGATCCCTGGGTTGGGAAGATTCCCCTGGAGAAGGGAAAGACTACCCATTCTGGTATTCTGGCCTGGAGAATTCCATGGACTGTATAGTCACAAAGAGGCGGACATGACTGAGCGGCTTTCACTTTCAGCTAATACTTAGATACATGATGGATATAAATTCAGTTACAAGTAAACATCTTAGGTTTAACCATTGTGGTGCATATTCAGTCAACACGTGAAAATAAACTCTTATGTATAGTCTTCCTGTTTTCTTTGGGTAGATCCACAGGAGAAGGGATACGCACTCCCGTATTCTTGGGCTTCACTTGTGGCTCAGCTGGTAAAGAGTCTGCCTGAAATGCAGGAGACCTGGGTTCGATCCCTGGGTTGGGAAGATTCCCCTGGAGAAGGGAAAGACTACCCATTCTGGTATTCTGGCCTGGAGAATTCCATGGACTGTATAGTCACAAAGAGGCGGACATGACTGAGCGACTTTCACTTTCAGCTAATACTTAGATACATGATGGATATAAATTCAGTTACAAGTAAACATCTTAGGTTTAACCATTGTGGTGCATATTCAGTCAACACGTGAAAATAAACTCATATATAGTCTTCCTGTTTTCTTCCTTCACGCGGTGTTATAAAAGTGATGGGAGTAGACCTGCTTTCTCTCTGAGCATAAAGAGGTGTTGGCCTAGTGCTCCTGGAAAGCGTGAAGCTCCACCAGCTTGTGTGAAGCAATATCCAGGAATCAACTCTGTGATTAATTGATTTTTGAACAGAACACATCTTCATGTTGTTGGCTTTTGCAACCTATATGTTTAATAACAGCCGTGTCACTTGTCTCACTCATCATCTTTGTTCTGACCTTCTCTTGATTAGGATCCAGGAGCAGTAGATTTCCATCATCTCTTCCTCTGCTCACCAGACCCCATTCCAAAGGACTGGAGCACTTCAGAAATTCTGCGGGGACCAGTTTCTAGTGCAAACAAAAGCACATATGTGTAGAGCAAAGCCAGCTCACACTTTTCAGCCTGCTGCTCTGAGCGCCTCCACCCCAGGCAAGTGCTGTGCCGCAGACCCCATCAAATATGTGCTCTCGTGGACAGATGGAAAACCCATTAGGAAGTACAGCCAACTCTGTGTTCCCACATTTCCGGGAGAGAAACCACATTCGGTGCAGGAGCCCTGCAAAATCACTAGGGTCAGTGCCTTTTAAATCAACTGAACATCTCATCTCTTCCAAGATATTACACAAGCAAAGCCCATATGGTTAGCCAAAGGCTCTGCCCTACAGGAAAGTACATGGGCTAGGGCTAGACTAAAGACCCAAGCCCACTATGTATTTTTTTTCTATAGCTCTAACTAATTTTTCTTATCTGGGAAATTGTTATACAAATGACTTGCTTTTTAAAAATAGTAACAAATAGATATTACAAAGCAACTTATAAGAACAATTATAGGTGAATAAGGTGGCAGGGGCAAGTACAATTATAAGGCTTAAGCTGTCTTGAGGGCTTCCCTGATAATTCAGTAGGTAAAGAATCCGCCTGCAATGCAGGAGACCCCAGTTCGATTCCTGGGGCGGGAAGATCCTCTGGAAAAGGAGTAGGCTACCCACTCCAGTATTCTTGGCTTTCCCCTGTGGCTCAGCTGGTAAAGAATCCACCTGTAGTGTGGGAGACCTAGGTTCCATCCCTGGGTTGGAAGATCCACTGGACAAGGGAAAGGCTACCCGCTCCAGTATTCTGGCCGGGAGAATTCAACGGACTATATAGTCCACAGGGTCACAAAAAGTCGGACACGACTGAGCAACCCTCACTTTCTTTTCAGGCCATCTTATGAGGGATTATTAGTTTGCCACACATTTTGAAAGTTAACTCAGCATGTCTTATTTTGGGGTGATGTGAGCCAGAAAAAAGTGCCTAACTGTCTCTTGACTTTTTTCCTGGGATCACAGCTGGCAGGCTCAAGAGCTTCCCCATGAAGGAGAGAAGCGCTTTCTACTCCATCTCCCACCTGAGTCCACACGGCCCCTCCCTCAGCCTGCCTGGTGGACCACAATCCACACACAGCAGGAGGAGAGATGACCAGAAGGCATCCGGAGAAGTCGCTGCCGCCACGGCGTGGTTTGCTTTCGTTCTGTGTTTTAGGATTATTTTGGCCATTATTTCCCCACTGAGGCTTAGTAACCTATTTAGTTTTCCACAAATTAAGATCCCTTAGCTCTTCTTAAATTCACCCTGAGGGGGAGCTTAAGGTAATTTCTAATGTACATATTTCACACAAAATTTGCTTCCCAATTGTCCACATGGGGATGTGTGCAAGCCGGACGCTCACCAGTGGCTTTGGCGAGTCCATCAGCTCTTCAGACAAAGCCCACATGTGCTTCCCTCCGTGGGTCCCAAAGGGGCTCAGATTTCAGGGCCCAACCACCATTGAATCAGCTCTGACCTTTCTCCCCATAATTATTTTTGTGAAATTTTCAGACTCAAGTGTCTGCCTGTGGGCAAAGTGCCAGTTATTTTAGGAGTCCGAATAGGGGTGGAAACATATACGTACGTCTCGACATGGAGAGAAGTGATGCTGACGACTGTAAATGTATGAGGAGTAAATCCACAGATTGAAGCATACGCTGATTTCCAAAGCCGCACCACACCTCTTAGGAGTTACTCGAAGGAATTCAGCAGTCGCCTACCTGCATAACTCACGCCCCTGAGGACGTCTTCTTGCTGGGTGGATGGCCCTGCTGTTGGGAAGGTCCCGCCCCAGCATCACACCTGGAGAGTGAAGACCTCACCTGAGCAGTGATGGGGTCTCACTGGCCATCTTCTCTCGGAGCCTGCCGCTGGGAAGGTCACTCTGGCAGTTGGAAGTCAGGCTTTTTACCCAATAATGAAGTAGCTTTGATCCAGAAGTGATTCAATCCCCCTATTCCTTCCAGATACAGGTAGGCCCAGTAACCCCCACAGGGGCTAATTAATTAATAGCCCCTTCTTCTCTTGCATAACTGCTGAGGAATTTTGTTTCCCACTGCCTCAGTTCATTTATTCTTCACAGTATGTACTGTGGAATGCACTTCATCACTTGTATTTTTCTTCTCCTATTTTGATATTGATGGTGATCTCAATGTCTTGGGGGAAAAAACTATTAAATTCAATGCTTCTGTTTTTGCCATCATCAAACAGGGGTAAACTGCTCTACTTATAATACAGGGATACTGCAGTCCTGTAGGCATAGGTGCTGGTCCCTCTTATCTCCTAATCACTCCCCTAACCTCAGACTTTGCTAGCCCAGAGCAGGTTTGCTTATCCTTCCCTGGACACTGCACTTGCTCTCCCACCAGAGTTGATCCTTTCTTTCTACATGTGTGCCCCTATCTCTGCCTCTGCTTGACTCTACTCTTTCTTCAAAGTCCCTCTTCACCTGAGGCCTTCTTGACCACCCCCCACAACTTCCTATGACACACAGGACCACACTACACATTGGACACCTACTCCCATGCTGTCTTGGGTTATTTGCAACTGTGTATCAAGTTGTAACACGTTAAAGGTTTAATATTCAACTATTTTTGACTTACAACACAGCAGTTAAGTATGGTTCCATCTAATATATGCATTTTCTCACCCCAAATGCAAATTCTCTTTGCATTTCTAAGGTCTTCAATAAATCCTTACACGGTGTAGGCATTTGCTATTAAAAAGAAATAGACTTGACTATTCTTAAATTGGCAAAATAGAGAATAAGCTTCTATTTTAATTGGAAAATGTATCTTAGCCCATTAATACACTCACCAGGGGTGATCTGGGATGATTCCACCTTGCAAAAATGTCTCACTATTGCCTAAAATGTAAAAATGAAACTTCATGACTCTAGGAGTTATGGTTAGAGACACTTTATAAATATAATAGGCTTTAATAGATTCTACACTTCAAAAAAATCATTTACAGAATTCTTTCACCAATAAATTCTACACTCACTAGAATATATTCATATTTATTATATAACTGGTTACACAACACAGTTAGAAAAGAACATTAGAATATCACACTTTATCTGATTACATTGATTCCTCTGTCCCTCTCCCTTATTGCAATATTAATTCTGTGTATAATTCTATTAGTTATCATGATGAACTGAAACTGGATAAGGAAAAGTCTAGTGAAAAAGTATACATAGTTTTAAAGCTAAGATATTTGATATTGAGTGAAGGGTCCCCTTGGTTTCCAAAATAAAAATATCCAAAATAGCGTCATGACTGTTGAACTGAACTCAGTATACTAAAGACAGAATGCAACTACAACTGTGGAGAAACAGAGAACAGGGGAGCCTATTACTTTGAGTACATCCTTATTGGTAGGCTCAGAGTTATATAAGAAAACAAATTGGTGTTTCATCACCTTCTTGTTCTGATGCTGTGGACGGATCAGTGAAGTGCAGATTTCTTTTTCAGTGATTCCATTTCTTAGAGCCACAGCTGATGAGTCATGTCTTCAGATCTTAACCCCAAGTGCATTTGTAGTGTTTTAGATTAGGTCTTTCATTCATGCAATATCAGAACATATAAAAGGCTTCATGAAACCAGGTCAATATATATTTTAGGGGAAGAAAAAAGCACGGGGTTTGTACTAATTGTTTCAGATTCACCATTTGTCATTTATAAGTCATTAAAAACAAACTGTATAACTTTGGTTTGCATTTTCTTTTAATCTTGAGATAAAGAGAGTTCTGAAGTAGTCTTGATGAATATGGTCCATCCAGGAAAAAAAATGGGAAGACTCACATTTCTTCCATTGGTGGTAGGCAGCCCACTTTCAACTTCCAAGCCCTTTCATGGTCAAGATCACCTTTAAGACCATTTTAAAAAGTTAGACTTTGTCTTCAAAGATCTTCTTCCTTTATGGTCCCCAAACCACAGTCAACTTCAGCTATCTTAATCTTGCTTTTTCTTGGCTGAAAACTAGAATAGTCTTTCTGTTACAAAGTAAACAGAGAGGTCAGAAATATATATGAGATGAAATAATTTCCATAACAACAATAATAGTTAAAAAGCCAAAGATTAAAATAGTATTTTTAAAAAGCAACAGAAAGGTAATATCTATTAAGCAATGATTGTTTCAAATGGTTTTACCCTGGACTTCCCTGGTGGTAGAGTGGAGAGGAATCCATTTGCCAATGCAGCGGATACCAGTTCGACCCCTGGTCCAGGAAGATTCCACCGTGTCGCAGAGCATCTAAGCTCTTGCACAAGTGCCGAGCCTTTGTTCTCGAGCTGGCGCCCGGCGGAAACTCCTGAAGCCCACGCGCCTAGAGCCTGTGCTCCGCCACAAGAGAAGCCCCCACCCTGAGAAGCCCCGGCACCGCAACGAAGAGCAGCCCCCCTCAGCACAGCCAGAGAAAGCCCCCGCGCATCAATGAAGACACAGCGCAACCAAGTAAATAAACAATTTTTAAAAAAGGTTTTACCCTGGAGCAGCTGTGTTTCAGGGGTAGGTATACATTTGTTACTGCTGAGGGTGCCCCCTACTGGTATGAAGAGGCATGTCCAGAGCACCTTTGCAGGCGCTGGGGTGTCTCCAGGTAACACCTGAAACCTGCCTCTCTTGTCTTTTCCTCATCTCTTAAAAGACATACAACTTTCTGTTTTTACCATCACCAAAATCTTTAGTGCACATCCCTCACAAAGTTTTTTTTAAAAGTATTATAGACATTTTAACATACTTTTAAGAAGTTACAGTTGCTGCAGACCTTCAGTGAGTGAATAGTCGACTTTCAGTGTTTATAAAACCTCTAAGACAGAGTCACAGACTGGGTTTTGGCCCTGGTGACATAAATGCGTGGCAGCTCACCAGACAGAGCAGCTAAAAAAAATTTTTCCCCTATGAGGAATTTGTCTTGATAGAGGCCTCATGGCAGAGTAATTAAAGGAACAACAGCAACAAAATTTTATTTGTTAACAAACGAGTGTTTGGGAATGGATACTAACTCCATCATTTACCAGCTGGGTGACCTTGGGCAAGTTACTTAACCTTTCTTCTGTTTTCAGTTCCCTTGGCTACAAACCAAGGATAATAATAATATCTGGGTTGCTGTGAGTTCTATGTGGAAAGCAATTATAACAGTGCCTAGCTCAGGATAAGCTCTCTACAACAGTTGGCTAGAGTAAGTTGGAATTCCATATAGTTGGGCACCAGGCTCCCTTCCAACATGCTGGCCCTGCTCAGAGCGTGACAGAGGTTCACCTGCTTCAGCATTGCTGTTTATCTGTGCTGACTGGCATCTCTGTCATTCTAGGACAGTGGCTCTTGAACTCAAACATGCATCAGACTCATTTGGAGGGCTTGCCCAATACGATTGCTGGGCCCCAGCCCCAGAGCTTCTGGTCCAATATGGTTGGGGCCTGAGAATTTGAATTTCTAGTAAGTTCCCAAGGGATGCTGACCCTGATGGTCTAGGGACCCCACTCTGAGAACCACTCTTTTAGAGTAATGGTTTCAATCCTGGCTGTACTTTAGATCACCTGGGCAGCTAGAAAATCCCACTGCCAGGCCCCTCAAAAAAATTTATTAATAAATCAGAGTCTTTGAGAGTAGGGCTCAGCCATCATGTTTTTTGAGCTCTTCAGGTGATACCAGTATACAGCCAAGTTTGAGAACCACAGCTCTATGCCATACTATGCTGCTGACATGGATGAATTTAAGTGATGAAGTTATCTTAAAGATAAAGACATTGAAGTCTGGTGCAGTGTTTCCCATTGGCATTCTTGCTATAAATGCTGAACTACTGGATCCATCTTTTGGGGTGGGAATTTGCATTTTAATAAGCACCCCAAGCATCCCTTTTACACATTCAGTTTTTTTGATCTCCCTGAAGACACATAGCCAGTAACTGGTGGCGTTCTCACTGCCTGTCTCTGATGTAAGCCGCCAGAAGTGCTGTTATTATGTAAGAGGGACAGGTCTGCTCTTAGTCTGTGTTTAAAATTTTTCTCTGAGCTTATCTACTCAAGGAAGGACCTTATATATTTATAAATGCTGTACTTATATACTAACTACCTTTATATACACAGCAGGCTCTGTGACAGGAGCTGAACCGATAATGAATCCCATTCAATGCTACTTAGAGGCCACCTTTATTTCATTCACCCCCACTAAGATCTGAACCTCTAAAGGAAAAGTTAGTTAAGGACACAGCTGTGGAATCAGACTGCTTGCTTCCTTCTACCACTGATAACTGTGCAACCTGCAGCAAGTCACCTAACCTCTCTGTGTCCCAGTTTCCCCAGCTGATTTGAGGAATGGTGATACAGTACCAATGATACAGGATCATGGTGAGGAGAACTGTGTTAATCCACAGAGAAGTACTTTGAATGGGGTCTGGCCATGAGTGTTTATTAATGCTTTCTATTATGATATTTACTGCTACTGTTATCTGCATAGCAGACCTAAATGCTTGAAGAAGCAGTTTATCAACTTAAAGGCTGTTTTATACAGAATACACTGCAGAAAGTCTATGAAACCAAAACATACAAACTAGAAAGAACATTTGAAAAAAAAACTGCATGGAGTGGAGAAGAAAATCACTTGAGTTTTGTGTTCTTCTTGGAACTTTTGTATATATAAATTCAGGAAAGCATTTCTCCTAGCCCAACTGGGTTCTACAGCAAAAACACTATGTTTCTGTGATGGTCATCCAATTGGACCAGTCTGCATGGAGGAGCTTCTGAGAAAGAGAATTCTGGCTTAATCTTAAAAGTAGAATGACTTTGGGTACTTAAAAGGGGGAAAACAGGCAGATTTATCAAAATTATAATATACCCATTACATAATTTTACTCACAGACCTGGTTTTGTTGAATGTGGTATTTTTTACTTTTGCCTTGTTCTGGAACTTCAATCTGCTAAATAGATTAGTGAAATGTCAGTCAGCACAGCCAGAGAAGCGAGCACACAAATAATCTATTTAACCAGCACATTTCTCCTTCCACAATAATCCTCTTAATGGTCCCGAAGGCTGCCAGTCAGCAGGACACCTGCTCGTCATCTGCACAGTCCCCCTTCGTTTGCGAGTATCTCAGCATTTCAGAAATTGAGTCCCCGAAAGTGAAGTGAAGCTTAATGTTTAATGTTGGTGGCTGCCTATGGATTCTGTGATTTAACACAGTTTTTAAAAGGACTTCACACAAAATGAACTCCTAAATCCAGAAATAATCCACAGAGCTCCAATCCATATGCTGAACCAAGGCCAAATGGGGCTCTGATTAATCAAAAGGCATCATTAATCAAGAGAAGAATCAAACTGAAGTTTAAGGCACTTCAACATACCTCATGCACATAAGGTAAACCTAATATAACAGTCAGGGGCCCAGCAGAAAGCAGATGGCTTACTCCCAGGGTAACTGAGGGAGTTTTCTACAATGAACTGCTTAATGGAGGTGTGGGAAGGATTGAAGTGCACCAGTGAAAGGGTGTAGTGAGTGAAGAGGAGCTGGGATGGGTGTCAGTTCTCACCACTTCTGGGTGTGAAGGGGTGAGGGGAGCAGCTGGTATTGGAACCGGAGTGTCCGAAGCAGCAGATAGAAGTCGCTTCAGGAGCTGTGGCCCTGAGCCAAGGACTGGGCCAACCGCACAGACCCGGCAGGGACAGAGTTGGAGAAATAAATACCCTGGTCTCCATTTCCTCCCACCTCACTGGGTTTCCCAGGGGTGACCCCAGTTGGAAGCTGGAGGTCAGAGGGTAAGGNGGGGTGAATTAACTAAGTTGCTTATTATTCATGAGATCATGTCCCCCTGTATAGAGCAGGACATTACAAAATAAATGGGATAAATAACATGGTACTGCAAAAGAGGATTATTTTTAAACAATGATTAACTTAACTTTTCTGTAAAATATATTGCTTTGAAGGATACATAGGACTTCCTTTAGGTTAGTATTCTCAATAGAGATGTTCATATATTTGCAGCCTATCTCAATAGTTTTAAAAAATCATTATTAGGCCTTGATAAATGAGAAAGTAATGTTCTGATGCCTTGTGTCTTGTTATTTTATCATTTTACAGCATTACATGATAGCAAGTAGTCTTGTGCAATGAAATACAGAAGTTGGGGGAAACTTCTTGGAATTTTTCTCTCTCCTAGTCTCCTTCCCTTCCTTCTCCCTATGTAAAAATAAAACACACTAGAATTGTTCAGCAATTTCTGATATAGTTTGTTTCCTTGACTTATTTCAGTAAGCTTTTTATATTTTATATACCAGGGTGATAAACTTGGGGGGGGGGGGCAGAGTTAATCCTTTTTTCATAATGCAGGATTCCTGCATTCTCTCTCTCAACAGAGTTTCTGCTGATAGCATAATCCTTCATTCCTTCCCCTCTGGCTCTCTGAAACTGTCCTCCCACTATGCTCGGACCATTCTTGTGATGGCTATAATGTCAGTACCTTTTCTGTTTTCTGAACTGGACAAGCTATGCAGAGGCTGCTGATCCCGGGACATCAGACGGCACTGCCCTTGGTGTTTCCCCTTCTCATCACATAACAGGAAGACACTTCAAAGCACCCAGTGGCCTTTTACACTGTCTGATCTCGCCCCAAATGAAAGAGGAGTGGAGAGAGAAATATATATAGTTATGGTAACTGGGGAGGGGATAGGAGGTATGAGGCAAGTTGGAATCAGAAGTCCACCTTGTTCTTTGCCATTTTTCAGGAAACCAATGTAGAGATTCAGACCCACTGTTATGTAAACCTAAGGAAAAATTATACAAAATAATAAAAGCAAACTAGGTATAGACTATTTTAAAAATAGTTTTCCAATTCAGAAAATATTTACTAGCATATTTCTGATAACTCTCATGTATTCATATTATGGTTCAATATATAAATAATGATAATTATAATGATGATAATACACTTTCAGAAGCTCCTTAGGAATGAAAGTGAAAGTCATTCAGTCCTGTCCAACTCTTTGTGATCCCATGGACTATACAGTCCATGAAATTCTTCAGGCCAGAATACTGGAGTGGGTAGTCTTTCCCTTCTCCATGGGATATTCCTAATCCAGGAATCAAACCAGGGTCTCCTGCATCACAGGCAATTCTTTACCAACTGAGCTATCAGGGACGCGCCCTTATATCCTGTATGCAGGGAATACACATACTACATAAAATCCACCTGCTTTCTTTTCTTGGTGTCTTTTAGATTTCTTTACATAGCAGAGATTGCTGTTAGCCTACTCCATTATTCATTCTGTTCTTTCTTAGTAGTAACACCCACATTTATTTGGAAAGACAACATACTCTGCAAAAAGACTACATTTGCCAGACTTCCTTACAGCTGGGTGGGGACCTGCGATGTGACTTAACTCTTGGAAGATGAGCTATAAGCAGAAATTCTCTGTGGGACTTCTGAGACTCCTCATTAAAGAAAAAAGGTGAGTGCATCTGCATACTTTCCTTTTACTTGTTGTCTAGAATGTGCATGAAATGGCTGGATCTCCTGCAGTCATCTTGGGCATGAGGTAAAAGCCACACAGTGAAGCTGGCAGAGCAGAAAGATCTCTGGTGACACCATGAAATCACTATCACAGCCCCATTCTGCCTGCTTCTGGGCTTTTAGATGCGATAGAAACAACTTTTATCTCGTCCAAAACACTTATTTTGTCTTGTTTTGTCTTTTGTTATTGGCAGTCAAAACTACTCCTAACTAATATATTTTATTTTCAAATAAAATAATCCTTTAATTTTTGTTCCAGTTAAAAGTAGAAAATATTTTTAAAAATCAATTTAGGTTTTTGTATAAGAGCACAGCTCTAAGAATAATGTTACTCATTTTTCTCCTTTCTGGTTTTTCAATTAACACTGTCTTAAGAATTTAACACTTTTTTTTTGCTGCATGTCTACATTTTTCTTTCGTACATTCATTTGACTTCAGATCTTAATCATCTCTTCATAAGTGGTTCAAGCCTTAACTTTTTAAACCATTGCCTAAAGCTAACTAAGCTAATTAACTCTAAGTGAGCACTAAATTTCTTCTTTCACTTCTTCCTTCTTACCAGGATAAAACAGTACTGTTTAATCTCTCAAGGGACCATCTGCTTTATTTATGGGGTTCAGTTAGTTACAGTTTTCTCAGTTTTTCTTTCCCTCCCCAGATTCTTCACAATTATAAAATCTTAGAATTTATTCTGCCTTGTAAATTAGAGACCTCTGCATTTTGGTCTATGAGACTTCTATAAGTGATAGGTGTCAATTCAGGCTTTATATGTTTTGCCTAGAAAATAAGTAAATGTCACAGTGTAACATTTATATGGTTACTTTAAGCTCTATAAAATGACTTGTTCTTATCAACTGTGCTTTGCAAGGAGATCCACAAAGTTCAAAGAGATGATCTGTCTTTTCTGTCTCCTTTCCAGGGTCCCATTCTACCCAGGGGTTTGCATTAATAGATGAAATTCCAGACTAAAATGTGGACTCTTCCTACAACATTCTCTTGAAATGTGAACTATTCCAACAGCATCCAATTTTTAGAGGAAAAATCTTAACTCCTTTCTAAGAACCAACATAAGGAAAGAAATAAAGAGTTTGTGAAAATAAAACTTGATGAGTATTTGGATAAGGCAATACAAGTTTTATTGACTACCATGCTGATTTTGCTATCAGTCACCAGGATAAATTATAGATTTTAATTTGCATGCAAATCTATGGAATATGATGGTGTGGTTGTTTTTCTTGAAAAATTTAAATAGATTACTACCTCCTCCTATTGTAGAGAAAACTGTTTTAGATAGTTCGCCCTTATATCCTGTATGCAGGGAATACACATACTACATAAAATCCACCTGCTTTCTTTTCTTGGTGTCTTTTAGATTTCTTTACATAGCAGAGATTGCTGTTAGCCTACTCCATTATTCATTCTGTTCTTTCTTAGTAGTAACACCCACATTTATTTGGAAAGACAACATACTCTGCAAAAAGACTACATTTGCCAGACTTCCTTACAGCTGGGTGGGGACCTGCGATGTGACTAACTCTTGGAAAATGAGCTATAAGCAGAAATTCTCTGTGGGACTTCTGAGACTACTCATTAAAGAAAAAAGGTGAGTGCATCTGCATACTTTCCTTTTACTTGTTGTCTAGAGTGTGCATGAAATGGCTGGATCTCCTGCAGTCATCTTGGGCATGAGGTAAAAGCCACACAGTGAAGCTGGCAGAGCAGAAAGATCTCTGGTGACACCATGAAATCACTATCACAGCCTCATTCTGCCTGCTTCTGGGCTTTTAGATGCGATAGAAACAACTTTTATCTCGTCCAAAACACTTATTTTGTCTTGTTTTGTCTTTTGTTATTGGCAGTCAAAACTACTCCTAACTAATATATTTTATTTTCAAATAAAATAATCCTTTAATTTTTGTTCCAGTTAAAAGTAGAAAATATTTTTAAAAATCAATTTAGGTTTTTGTATAAGAGCACAGCTCTAAGAATAATGTTACTCATTTTTCTCCTTTCTGGTTTTTCAATTAACACTGTCTTAAGAATTTAACACTTTTTTTTTGCTGCATGTCTACATTTTTCTTTCGTACATTCATTTGACTTCAGATCTTAATCATCTCTTCATAAGTGGTTCAAGCCTTAACTTTTTAAACCATTGCCTAAAGCTAACTAAGCTAATTAACTCTAAGTGAGCACTAAATTTCTTCTTTCACTTCTTCCTTCTTACCAGGATAAAACAGTACTGTTTAATCTCTCAAGGGACCATCTGCTTTATTTATAGGGTTCAGTTAGTTACAGTTTTCTCAGTTTTTCTTTCCCTCCCCAGATTCTTCACAATTATAAAATCTTAGAATTTATTCTGCCTTGTAAATTAGAGACCTCTGCATTTTGGTCTATGAGACTTCTATAAGTGATAGGTGTCAATTCAGGCTTTATATGTTTTGCCTAGAAAATAAGTAAATGTCACAGTGTAACATTTATATGGTTACTTTAAGCTCTATAAAATGACTTGTTCTTATCAACTGTGCTTTGCAAGGAGATCCACAAAGTTCAAAGAGATGATCTGTCTTTTCTGTCTCCTTTCCAGGGTCCCATTCTACCCAGGGGTTTGCATTAATAGATGAAATTCCAGACTAAAATGTGGACTCTTCCTACAACATTCTCTTGAAATGTGAACTATTCCAACAGCATCCAATTTTTAGAGGAAAAATCTTAACTCCTTTCTAAGAACCAACATAAGGAAAGAAATAAAGAGTTTGTGAAAATAAAACTTGATGAGTATTTGGATAAGGCAATACAAGTTTTATTGACTACCATGCTGATTTTGCTATCAGTCACCAGGATAAATTATAGATTTTAATTTGCATGCAAATCTATGGAATATGATGGTGTGGTTGTTTTTCTTGAAAAATTTAAATAGATTACTACCTCCTCCTATTGTAGAGAAAACTGTTTTAGATAGTCATTGTACAAGTATTTCCTGCATCAAGTAGCTTACACTTTATCGAACCACATTTGAGAGCACTTCTCCCCTTTAATGGGGCTTTATTAATTGCTTTTGTCTCTCTCTGTCTCTCTCTCTATACACATACATATATAAAATGATATATGATATATTTAAGTTTATACATATTTATCATATACATATATTTAAATTGAGGCCTAAGGGGGTCCATCCTCCATAGTAGGTTAGATTTTATTATGCTTTAAAGAAAAAAGCACCCTTGATTGTTTTATTGGTATGATTTGCTATTCTCTAGTACATTTTGAAGTGTTCCAACACCAAGGGGTAGTGAATTTTATCCTCCCTGGGAAAATATTTTGAGTTCTAGAAGAAAGAAAAGTAAGCGTAAAATGCAACATTTTTCTGAGGAAAAAAGCTGCAAAGTCAAGTAAAGATCAGTGTTAATCTAAAGGTATTATCCGCCTTCTTATAATACACCAAAATTAAAAACATTAGGAAAAGTTTTTAACTATTTTCTGTTGTATTTTTAAAGCCCAGTGTGTTATCCTACAAGAGAATTTTGTTGATAAATGTCATTTTTAAAAATCAAACTGTACTGTCTTACTTGGGACAAGCTTGTATCCTGGTGGTGACAAGGCAAGTAGAAAGTTTAGAATCTCAGGAACTCTCTTTACAGCCCCAGCATGGACACTTTCAATGAATAACTAGGCCTTTATTGAAGATTTGGAGACAAGAAAAATAAATTTTACACTGAGAAAAAATTATAGCCTCGAGAGCTTCTTTTATTCGATGGCTTCTCCAAACTGCTTAAGGCATTTTAATTTGGTACAGTGGAAGTATCAAGAAGCTGTGAGTTCTATCTAGAGACAAAATCTCAGAGCTTATTTAAGCTCATACCTGCCATGCTGATTCTGTCTATGTTATTGCTTTTATGGTAAATCTGTAATCTTCCATTTGGGAGAAGGCAGAAATATAAGGATACAGAGTAGAGTGTTAGCAAGTTCTCAGCAATCCAAGGACAACTGGCCTCTCCCTGGGAAATTGGCTTGGATTCTGAAGACTGAGCTCCCAGAGAGCTGAGAAGCTCACTTCTGGGCAGTTGGGTTTGTCCCTGGATTTGAAAGACCCTGATGCTGGGAAAGATTGAAGGTGGGAGGAGAAGGGGACGACAGAGGATGAGATGGTTGGATGGCATCACCAACTCGATGGACGTGAGATTAAGCAAGCTCTGGGAGTTGGTGAAGGACTGGGAAGCCTGGCGTGCTGCAGTCCATGGGGTCGCAAAGAGTCAGACACGACTGAGCAACTGAACTGAACTGAACTGGAAGGCCAGACTCGCTGCTGGCCCAGGGAAATTCATCAGTGGAATTTAGTGTCAGCTGATGGTGGAAACAAACACAGACACAGATAAAAGCACTCACCATTTCTGGGTTCTCTGCAGCTTGCTTTACTGTCTTTTCTGAGATCATCTTTTTCAAGCAGCTACTCAGCAAAAAAGCCTAAGAAACCCAGAAATAAAGAACTCTCTCAGTTAAAGACTTCATTCTCTTCCTTCCCTCTTCACACTGAGAAGCAGGTTTTGTGCCCTGTCCTCCAAAAGTATGCTTTTAAGAATTTAGAGTTCTTTCACTTTCATTAATTTCATAAGCTGTAACCAGCAAGTAACCATAAATTTTCTCAATTACAGGGAGATACTTGCAGTAAATTTTTTAAAAGATAGATTAAAAATGACTAGGATCTCATTACTAATCTTTTTCAAAACTGTTCCCTTACATCCCCCTTCTTTTTCTATTACTTTGTGAACAGCTCATGTCTTACGAGCAAAGAATAATAAAAACCACTTCTAATCACAATCAAATCAAATGATGATGGTCAATCTTCTATTTAACTGTATACATAATGATTCGGAGATCTATTAGTAGGCATACATATTAATCTGTTTGAAAGGATATATTAGCACTTTATGGCTCTTACTGAACTGAAGACAAAATCAGTCGTTTTTCTTCCTTTTTTAATTTTCCTGGTATTTTTAGTCATTCTGTTAAGATTGACCATTGCCCCTAACACCACCTGTGGCTTATCATTGGCTCATCAGTGCTAGTGGCAAGACACATGTCATACACATCTTGGTGCACAACAGCTGGGGTTTTCCTTTCTCTAGGAACTTTATCCCATGTGCCAAACTTAAGTTTCCCCTGTGATTTCCTTTTTTTCCTTTCTCACAGATGTTTTCCCCCCTCTTTTTTCTTCTCTCAACTCTTGGACTGTTCATTTCTCATTCAGCCCCACTGAGGTTTCAGACAACACGAGCTCAAAGCTTGAGGCTAGAGAACTTTAGCATAAACTTGTGCTCAAGGATGGTCCCTGAACTTGGGGTGAGGGGTTGACAGGGAGGAGGAGAGGGGAGAGGGAGGGAAAGTTCAGGTTCCAGCGGCTGCTGATGTAGAGAGCTTTTGGAGGATGGGATACAGAAAGCAGGGCTAGAGGGGGAAGGGGCTACACAGAGGCGGCGTTTCAAAGTTTTACAGAGCTGGGTTGCATTTTAAGCAGAGAGAAAAGAGGGGAAAGAAACGGCTGCCACCAATAAGGAAAAGAGTCACGGATGTGAGGTTTATGCACAGAAACAAAGCTTCCTTCCTGCTTTAGCGAAGAACGAGCCCTGTTATCTGTGCATATATGTCACCTATGCGACATCAGGGGACGAAATAGATAAATGACAGCAAACCCTGAGCCGATGCAGCTAGGAGGGGTGTTTAATGGTGTCCCACAAGGTGCAGACTGATTCCACACGCCTATACAACATACTGAAGCCCATGTGCCTAGAGTCTGTGCTCGGCAACAAGAGAAGCTGCCGCAGCGAGAAGCCAAAGCACTGCTCCCTGCAACAAGAGAAAGCCCACGTGCAGCAACAGAGACCCACCACAGCCAAAAAATAAAATATGAGTAAATCAGTAAGTCTTACTGTATGTATATAAAGGGACTAAGCATCCATTTAAAGGGTCCAGGAAAAAGTCGGGCCAAGCCTGCTTTTTGTATTTGCAAGGCACACAAACCACATTTCTGCCTTTTGCAGAAGTAGCCCTTGGGTGCACATCGATAAATCCACACTCCAAAGAAAGTAAGACCTCACTAGGACTCTTTTCAAAGGGTGTTTATTGCACCTCTCCTTAGTGGCTTAAACTCATTTGTACAGACTAGATTAAAAGACCATAATAAAATTTAACTACCGCACTTAGCATTCGGAGGGAAGGGGGTGGTTTTGCTGCCAAAATCTCTCTGTGTGTTTCCACGTGACTGCAGATCTTGCCTCAGCAAACCATCCTATCACTTCCCTAAGGATGTTTTATATTTAAGGTGAACCTGGGAGACCATTTCTTCAACCTGGGATTTTGATTTAGTACTTTGTTTTTCAGAGGACTTGGATATCTATTATCTCTTGATCAGAACTGTACTAGTGGAGAGTTAAAACTGAGCTTTGGTTGCCTAAAACTGGAATGCTGCATGGAACACAGAACTGAATGTGATCACCANCTATTTATTTTTAAAGGATAGAGTTTGATATACTTTATTTTCTATCAAGAATTTGTATCCCAGTCTGTCTCTTCTTACATGACTTATCCAGTTCTTTTAAAAGTCGCTTCTCACTTTACCGTGTGTGATTGAAAGAAATTGTAGAATTCAGTCTTTTCAACACAATGTTGTCACTACTTCATGGTTTCTAGCTAGGACATATTTTCCTTTACTGTTTTTCTCAATCACAGTCCTGGCTAGAAACAGTTATGGACTATTTAGGGTCCATAAGAAAATCTTTTTCCAATAAGAAAAAAGATTAATATTGCATTATTTACTAAACAAAACAGAAGCTCCAATACTTTGGCTACCTGATGCAAAGAACTGACTCACTGGAAAAGACACTGGTGCTGGGAAAGATTGAGGGCAAGAGGAGAAGGGGGCGACAGAGGATGAGATGGTTGGATGGCATCACCGACTCAATGGACACAAGTCTGAGCAAACTCTGGGAGACAGTGAAGGACAGGGAAGACTGGTGTGCTGCAGTCTGCGGGGCCGCAAAGAGTAGGACCTGACTTAGCAACTGAACAACCACAAAATAAAACAAAACCAAAACAAATAAATGGTATTACAGGCCTAAAAGCGCATGTGTGGCATACTCTACTATTCTGCTCCACTTGGGTTAGGGCAAGGTGCTTTGTCCACCCCAGCATGCAAGAGAGCATTTAGCACTGAAGGTCTTCCTGCTCTGCCGTGAGAACTTACCTGTTTGGTGTAAATAACAAACCACCGCCAGTGACTATCCTCGCAGTACTGAAATCTGAGCTCTAAGTTCTGGCTGAGAGTTTGTTGTGGCCCATCCGTATCCAGCAGAGTCCCCTACAAAGGAAAAGATATTACTTGACATTCAGCAGGCATTTAAATGGCTCTTATATGCTGCACAAAATGTCAAAACAAGTGAGAATGTCCCTATTCCCAAGACACTATCAGTCTTTTGGGGAGCCATGAAAGTACAATAAATCATCATAGTTCGATATAAGTATTATAAGGGAAGCAAACAGGTCTATGGAAGTGAACAGGATGGACATTTAATCCAGACTAGGAGTTAAAGGAAGTTCTGGGGGGGCGAGAGTGGAGGGAGGATGTTATCTGAGCAGAAGAAGAAATTATCCAAGTTTGTTGTGTGTTTTTTTGAGGGGAGGGGGTATGGCGGTAACCAGTGGTTTCTGGAAGAAGACAAAATAAGTGTAGATTCATGAGGAAGCCTGGTGCACTGGAGTGTGGCTGAACCATTCGCTGTGATGGATGGGGGCTGAGAGAGGAAGGGCAGGGCCAGAGCCCGGAAGCCTGGTAGGAAGCACCTGTGATTTTTGCTTTACAGCATCGATCGTTTTTCTTCTGGTACTAGGTTTCAAATTCCCTTGGGAAAAACCTTTCACTGTGGGTCTCAAGCTAGGACAGTCAGGAAATGCTGCCCTCTTGGAGGGTGGCAGGTGACCCAAGCTCAAGCCAACTGGATAAATACTCTGGGTCTCTCATTCGATTCCAGGGCAGAAGGATCCAAAGAGCAGATCCTGATAAAGAATCCCTGATTTCTAGAAATCTTGAGTTCCTATGGTTCCTGGTTATCCTGAGCCTCTATTTCAGTCTTTTTTTTTTTTCACCCTTTCCTTTAAATCAGTGTATTATCTCATATCCTTCTAATAACTCCTTCCCCCCACCCCTCCCCCACTAGAGCCAGAAGTATTGGTTTCTACTATTTGCTAGGAAAAGAGCAGTGGCTGTTACAAGTTTTACAAGCTAAGTGAAGGAGTCTGAACTTTATCTTAAGGGCAACAGGCCATTTGTCAAAAGATTTTAAAAGCTGAATAATAACACAAATTTGTATTTTAGAACTATGAGTCTGGTAACATCAATGTAAAAAAATGAACTGAGAAACAGCTGTTTTCAGACATAGAACAGCAGAGAATGCAGAACTGTCAACCCTGAGAAGCAGAAAACAAGAAAGGTGAGCCCTGTAGTCACCCAGTTTACTGCCTGGAGGAGTTTCCAAGATTCAATACAGGGAGGGAAACCCAGAGTCCAGAGGTCTTGCTAAGTTGGTGAGAAAGAGACAAAACTCTGTGAAGTGGTGGTTAGAATGGGATAGAAGACTAAAGACAAAGGTTTTACACAGAGCAAGAGCTCCAGAGAGCACCTTTCAAATCTTTTGGCTAAATAATGATTTGTGCATGTGTGGGAGATGCACAAATTTGCATCTGGGAAGTCTGCAGAAAGAACCACTGAAAAGCAGCAGGTTGAACAATTCCAAAGCTCTTAAACCAGCCTGGAAATGGTTTCTATCAACCAGAGTAGAGATAACATAATAAACAAGACTCAGAGTTCTAACTATGGCAGCTATTAAGCAAAGTACTAAATTAGTCCTCCAGACTGCTCTTGACTTGCCTTAAGAAAGCTTAAAAGCAAAGTCTCAAAAAATAAAACTAATTCCAAGTAATTAAATTGTGTGACAGAACAAAATCCAATTTTCTTTAAAGGAATACAATAAAATCCAGCATTCAACAATGTAAAATTCACAGTGTTTGGCATACCATAATAAATTACCTGGTGTGCAAAGTATGAGATAAGTGTACTTTGCAAACAGGAGAAAAATCAATCAATAGAAATGTCAGAGCTGATGGAATTAGTAGACCACAATATAAAAACAGTTATTTTAAATATGCTCCATAAAATCAAAAATTTAGAAAAAATAGCATGATAAGGAGAGAAATGGGAGATATAAAAACGATCTTAATGGACTTTCTAGAGATGACAAATAATGTATAATAGTAGAAATAAAAATATAATGGATGGAAAGACACACATTACTTGCTACAGAGGATTGATGACCTTGAAATCATGACAACAGAAACTACCCAAAATTAAGCACAGAGAGAAAAAAAGACTGAAACAAAACCACAGCGAGATACCACTTTACATCCATTAGAATGGCCATATTTAAAAAAGAAAAAAAATCAGATAATAACAAGTACTGGCAAGGATATGGGGAAAGTGGAATCCTCTTATGCTGCTGGTGGGGATGTAAAATGGAGAAGACACAGTGAATGACAGTCTGGACTTTCCTCAAAAAGTTAACCATAAAAGTTAATCACTATGGTAGAATTACCAGCAATTCCACTCTTCGGTATATACCCAAGAGAAATGAAAACCTATGTCCACATAAAAAAAAAAAAACCATATGCACAAATGTTTATAGTAGCATAATTCATAGCAGTCAAAAGGTAGAAACAACCATTGATGGATAAGTAGATATATCCATACAATGGAATATTATTTGACCATAAAAAGGAATAAAGTACAGATATATGCTAAAACAAGGATGAACCCTGGAAACATTATGTTAAGTAAAACTATCAGTATGTCTTTTTTTAATTGTTCAACCTGCTTTTGGACTTGTTCAACTGGCTGCTTTTCAGTGGTTTTTTTCCCCAGACTTCCCAGATGCAAATTTGTGCATCACCCACACATGCACAAATCATTATTTAGCCAAAGGATTTGAAAGGTGCTCTCTAGAGCTATTGCTCTATGTAAAACCCTTGTCTTTACTCTTTTATCCCATAAATTCTATCCATCACTTCACAAATTTTTATCTCTTTCTTCTCAACTTCTCAAGACCTCTGGTCTCTGTTTGGGTTTCCCTCCCCAAAAAACAGTCACAAGCACCATGTATGATTCCATTAATATGCTATTCAGAACAGGCAAATCTATAGAGGGAGAAAGTAAATTAGTGGTTTCCGAGGCCTGGTGGCAAAGAAGTAACAAATAAAGGGTATGGAGCTTCTTTTTGAGGTATTCTAAAATTGATTGTGGTGATGGTTACACAACTCTGAATATACTGAATACTACTGAGTTGTACACTTTATATTGTGTGGAATGTGAATAATATCTTGATAAAGCTGTTACAGAAGAAGAGAATGATGATGTGGTATTGGTAGAGGGATCTAGGCTTCCCTCTGTGTGTCTACACAAAGATCAATGGAACAGAACTAGACCCACACAAATGTGCCCAACTGATTTTTTACAAAGATACGACAGCAATTCAATTGAAGAAAGATAGCCTTTGCAACTAATGGTCCTGGAGCAATTGGACTTCCATAGGCAAAAAAGGGAACTTTGCTCTAAATTTCACACCTTACGTGAAAATTTACTCAAAACAGCTCATGGATTTAAATGTATAACCTATACCTATGAAACCTTTAGGAAAAAACAAAACAAAACACCTTGGGAAAAATTCTTCAGGATTTAGGGTTTGGCAAAGAATTTAGACTTGACACCAAAAATACAATAAAGAAAAACAGCTTCATCGAAATTAAAAGTCTTTTGCTCTGCAAAAGACCCTGTGAAGAGAATGAAAAACTACAAAGTGAGGGAAAATACTAGCAAGCCACATATCCAAAAAAGGACTAATATCTAGAATGTAAGTGCTCTCAAAACTCAATAGTAAACAAAAAATCCAATTGGAAAATGGGAGAAATTATGAAGACATATCACCTAAGAAGATACCCAGATGGTAAATAAGCACATGAAAAGATGTTCAGTATCGTTAGCCATGAGGGAAAGGCAAATTAAAATCACAATTGAATACCAATACACACTTATCAGGATGACTAAATAAAAAATAATGACAGTACCAAATGCTGCTGAGAAAGTGGAGAGACTGGCTTGCTCACACATCACTGGTGGGAACGTATAATAAATTGGCACAGCTCCCTTGAAAACAATTTGGCAGTTTCTTAAAAAATTAAACTTCCAGCAATTGCACTCCTAGGCATTTATTCCAGAGAAATGAAAACTTGTGCTCAGACAAAAACCTATAAATGAATATTTATAGACACTTTATTCATAATAGCTAATAACTGGAAACAACCAGATATTTTTCTTTGGGTGAATGTTTAAAAAATGTGGCTATTCTATATCATGGAATACTGTTCAGCTGCAAAAAGCAACAAACTATTGCTATATACACACCAAGCTGAATGAATTTCCAAAGAATTATCTGAGTAAAAAAAATCCCAAAGACTACATACTGTGTGATTATATTCATGTAACTTTTTTTTATTTTTTAAGGTAACAAATTCCTTGTTTTTATTTATGTTTACCTCCTAAACACAGTCAATTCTTGTTGTTACACTAGCTATGACCTATAGTTACCATAAACACTGCATTGTTGAGTTCTGACACAGAGTCCAAGGGGAAATAGAGGTTTAGGCTCTTGTGAACCTCTGGTCACGATATCTTCATCAACTGACCGATGCATAACCTTGTTTTATGTGTGTGTGTTTGTTTTTTCTAACTGAGGTTATAATTGGTGTGCAAAAAAACTGCACATACTTAATGTACACAATTGAAGAGTTTGGACATATGCATATCCATGAAATGATCACCACAATCAAGTCATAAATATATCCATTACTTCCAAAAGTTTTATATAATATTCTTGAAATGATACAATATGAAAATGGCAAACAGATTAGTGTTGCCAAGGGTTCAGGAAGGATGAGAGTGGGAGTAAGTGGATGCAGCTATAAGAAGCCAACATGAAGGATCCTTGCGATGATGGAAATGTCTTGATTCTTCATTGTAATCAATGTTAATAGCCTAAGTGGTGATACTGTACTCTGGTTTTGAAAGATGTAATAATTGAAGAAAAGTGTGTAAAGTATATGCAAAATCTCTGTACCATTTCTTTCAACTACATATGAATCTATAATTATATCAAAATTATTAAAAAGTAATTAACTGTTGAAAGCAAAAATAATTATAACACAGTATGAGGTTTATAATATATGCAGAAATAATGTATGGCAACAAATACCACAAAGGACAGAAGGGGCAGAGGTACACTGTTGTAAGGTTTTTAAACTTCTTGTGAAATGATGTAATATTCAAAAGTAGACTGTAATAAGTTAAAAAGATGTATATTAAATACTCTTAAGTAAACCATAAATTTAAAAGGTGTGGCTAAAAAAACAATGGAACAAATGAATGTCTAAATAATAAAATAATCTATAGAAGACAAGAAGGAAAAAACTGACAAAATTTAAAGAAATGGACAAATCTACAATTATATTTGAAGATTTTAACACTCCTTACAATAGCTGATAGAACAAGTAGAGAGAAATGTGTAAGGATAGAGGAGACTTGAACGTCATTAACCACTTGACTTAATCGATATTTCTAGAGTTAGAGTTAGGGCAACATATGCATTCTTAAGAGTGGCAGCATCTACAGTCTTCTCAAGTGCATGCTGAACATTTGAAGATATACCAAACATTGGCCACAAAACAAGTTCCCATAAAGGGACTGAAATCATATGATTTTTTCTTCTGACCCCAAGAGGGAAAGAGTGGGGCAGTGAGAAGGGTTAGGAGGCCATGGGATTTTATCCAGGCCGCAAATGTTGAGATCAAGATGTGAGGGCAGGGAGAAAAGGAGAATCTTGAAGGTCAGCAGTGCCATAGGATGATGTGAAGAGCCGACTCACTGGAGAAGACCCTGATGCTGGGAAAGACAGAAGGCAAAAGGAGAAGGGGCCGGCAGAGGATGAGATGGTTAGATAGCATCATCGACTCAGTGGACATGAATGTGAGCAAACTCCAGGAGACAGTGAAGGACAGGGAAGCCTGGCATGCTGCAGTCCATGGGGTTGCAAAGAGTCGGACATGACTTAGCAGCTGAACACCACCACCACCATCAGTGTCGTAGAACAGATAGGTCTACATCAGCAATTAAAAATGTAAGATAAGAGAAAAGTTAGGGATAATTTCAAGATTGCTGGTTTGGCAACCAGGGGTGGTGGTGGAAGTCCCATTTACCAAGATAGGGAACATAGGAGGAAGAACCCTAGGTTGGGCATATGGGAAAGGATAGGTCCAGTTTGGAAAAAGGCTGAGTTTGAGGTATCTGTGAATCACTTGGTGAAGATGTCAAGAATGCGGTAGGAAATACTGGACCTGTTGACAGTCATCTGGGAAACTGACTTCAGGAGATAAGTAGAGGAGAGAGTCTAGAAATGGAACCCCAGGAAACACCAGCATTTCAGGAGTGGTCAGAGGGAGAGGCAGCCCACAAAAATTAAAGGAGGAAGCAGGGGGAGCTGTGAAAAGGAAGACATGGTTGACATATCAAACGCTGCAGACAGGCCTAGTACTGAGCCAGCTAAAAAAATCCCCATGGGCTTCATGGATTTAGTAGCTGGCTGTCACGGTTGCTTTAGTAGCGTTTGTCCTCTATCATTAATCTCCATTTCCTGTGTAAATGGGATAATGCCTCTTAGCTCACTGGGTTATATTTAAGAACTTAATTAAGANAGGTGGGGGGGGTCAGGATGGGGGGACACATGTATACCTGTGGCTGATTCGTGTTGATGTATGGCAAGAGCCATCACAATATTGTAAAGTAATTATCCTCCAATTAAAATAAATTAATTTTTTAAAAATTAAAAAAAGAATAGCTCTGCTGGGCAGCATCCAGTTTCCAAGCATAGAGATCTTGGTACTGAGCACATATTAAGTGTTCAGTAAATGGTAGCTGTTATCTCTACATGTTTTGTTATTACTTTAGATATCCTTCAAGCAGTAGAGAAGTCTGCTGTTGGAAGGTGAGAAGATGAGTGTCTCTACAGCGAGAGTGAGGAACTTGTAGCGGATAGTAGGTAGGTTTTACTACTAGGTGATGCTTTGTGCATGCTCAGTCCTGTCCGACCCTTTGCAACCCCATGGACTGTAGCCCACCAGGCTTCTCTGTCCATGGGATTTTATGATGCTTACTGTGGCTTAGATGCCAGTCCATTCAAGGTACTGATTCAAATGGCAAACCTGTCTCCCCCATACCAACACTGTCATCCAAGAACACTAGGATTTTTTAAATCATGGATGAAGGCTTTAAATGATGAGAAAGGCAAGGTGCCAAGATACTCACAAGGAAAGTGACCTGCCAGCACTTCACTCTGTCCATCTGGAAAATGACGTCCAGGGTCTGGTTATCAGGCAGGGTTATGCAGCAGCTGATCTCATTATTGCCGACGGAAAGAAGGGCCTGGCAGCCCGGTTCTGGGTGGTCACAGGTGCAGGGTTCCAGCTGTACATATCCATAGTGCCAGACCTCCCGGGCGAGCTCCAAAAACTGCTCCAAAATGGGGTGGGGATGGAGGAAGCAAAAGACTGCTTGAAGCGGATGAAAAATCTCAAGTCAGAAGCTACTGCCATTCTAACACAACACCAGGAATGGAGTCACAGTGAAAGCACCTTTTTCTTCCGGTTGACGCAGATGAAGACAATGCCCCACGTGCTGACAGGGCTGCCCAAGTTCCCGGTGTGTGCTTCCTCATTGACCATCATGTCCCTGCCCTTTGTACAGTGCTCAGACTTAGTGGAAATAAAATATTCAGTGTGTGAACGATGAAGGAAGAAAAGAGTAGGATGTGATCGAATGAGTAGTTATGATTCTATCTCAGCAGATTAGAGCAGCAGAATAAACAAAAAGTGAATATTTAAGATGCTGTGTTTAAAAAAAAAACAACTAAGCTGAGATCAAATTTTTACAGGCTGCTTTATATGCTGGTGGCATTCACTGTCAGAGACAGTGGTGGAAACGGCAATGAAGTGAGGGCGAGAGTGAATCTGATCTCTAAGCCGAGTTTCACGGCCCCGAAGTGCCAGCGGAATGTTGAATGTTGGTGATGTTTAAGGTTTAGCTCTTCCCTCTGCTTGTGTTGTTACTGAAGAACAGAGGACAGCTGCAGGGCACACCTGTGGTCCTGGCGTCCTGTCCTGCTAATGTCTATTGAGGACCTTTCAACAAAGTGATCATTGGCGACTGCCTTCAGCTAACCTGCCATCAGTTTAGTGACCTCCACTTTGTTCTTCCAGCCTTCACCATGGTCCTACCTGATGGGGTGGAAGATGTGTGTTCAGAGAAGGTAGTTCTCACCTTACCACATGGTTAAATCAGAAAGAAGACCAATCAGCGACAACCTGGCCCTTTCCCAATCCTGTCCTGAAGCAAGGTAACTTACACCTCCCTTTTTTTTTTTTTCCATTTATTTTCATTAGTTGGATGCTAATCATTGCAGTGGGTTTTGTCATACATTGAAATGAATTAGCCATGGATTTACATGTATTCCCCATCCCGGTCCCCCCTCCCACCCACACCTCCCTTTTGAGGGCTACGTGAGTGCTCTCTGCTAAAGGGAAACAGGCTGAGACATGTGCCATGAGGGACGGGTGACTCTTGGTGCCAAGTGGTGGAAGTATTACAGGCTCCTGTCCCTCCCGGCCACGTGTCTGACCAGCTCATTGCACTGAGGCCCATGCACTCAACTTAGGAGCTGCGTTCAGCTGCCAGACCTCCCTGTGGGTCAGTGGGAGACATCAGAAATGACAGGTGGTGAGTAGATGTTACCTGTGTGGTAGGGACAGGGCCTGAGTAATCCCACCACAGAGCATTAGAGTAGTTTCATGGCTCTTGCTACAAAACTTTTTTATTATATGGTATAAATCCTTAATTGTTTATTTTACTCTTTGGTAACACAAAAAATTTGTAATAAACTGTAATACAGTCTTGGTTGCAGTGCTCTAAAAGAGGTGAAAGTGTTTGTTTAACTAAAAGTTAAGCTCCATTTCTCTAAGAAGTTGGTTATGAAGAAGTAACTTGTTCAAAATGCTAGCTGGCACCTGCCATTCAAAGTGAGGGGGTGGGGAGCACTGGTAATACTGCCTGTGTGAAAAGCAGAGGACAGAAAGCTAAAAGGATTATCTACTTGAATGAGTTTTGTTTTGTTATTGGACACACCACACAGCTTGCAGGATCTAAGTTCCCCAACCAGGGGTTGAACCCAAGCCATGACAGTGAAAGCACCAAGTCCTAACCACTGGACCACCATGGAATTTCTGAAAATTTGTTCTTTTAAGAAGCACCTGAAAAAGGTAATTTAACATGTAGAACTGCAAAAGGTAGATTAGCATTTGGCAAACTTACCTGCAGAGCCATGTAGTAAATATCTTCGATTCTGTGGGCATATGAGCACTGTTGCCACTACCCACCTCTACTGCTCTAGCGCAAAATCACCATTTGCTAACACATACGTGAGTGAGTGTGGCTATGTGCCAATAAAGCTTTATTGACACAAACAGTGGCCCAGGGACCATAGTTCAGTCTCTCTCTGATTTAGATCAAATGACTGCTCCTTTAAGTTAATTTCACTCATTTTCAATTCCAAGTTTTCTTGTACAACTACATAAAGTAAAGAATAGTTGTTAATGTGCTGACTCCATTAGCAGAAGAACTTTTACAAACACTTAAATAACATTGGTTTTAATAACAGTATTCTTAGATGCTTCAAGAGAAAAATCATTTGTTAACTTGAATAATGGTTCAGTTTTTTCCAAGTGAAAAAAAAACCCCCACACCTACTCTATCCTGAAGCAGTACATGTGAGTCTGACAAAATAAGAACACATACTCTATCCTGAAGCAGTACATGTGAGTCTGACAAAATAAGACATATTTTAACAAGAGAAATGGCCTCTCCTTCATTGTGTTACCTTTTTTATTCTTTATATTTAGCCAACTACTAAAGCATTGACTTCAAACAAAATGCAAAGAAAATTTAGAGGACTAAATTCATGCACTCAAAATGAGAGTTTTTAAAGATCACTATTAAAATAGTATGGTAAAATGATATAAAACATTCAACCATAGAAAATAAACTTTGTTTTATGGCAAAAACAGAAATTTTGTTAGAGCATAGCAGCATGGTTAAAAACAACAGTCTTACTAACTAAGAAGTTTATAGACCAGAAATGTCCTTAGAATTGGTAACTGTGTCCAAAGCAATAGCAACATAATATTCATCAAAATAAAAGCTGTAAGTATAAAAATTTGCATACACGCAGAGAAATTGAATTCCAAAATTTCTGAAACAAAGCTGTAATGGAATACCAATGGGAAAGTGGGAAAGTTAGTCGCTCAGACGTGTCAGACTCTTTGTGACCCTATGGACTGTAGCCCTCCAGGCTTCTCTGTCCATGGGAATCTCCAGACAAGAATACTGGGGTGGGTTTCCATTCCTTTCTCGAGGGGATCTTCCCAACCCAGGGAAGATTCTTTACCATCTGAGCCACCTGGGAAGATTTCTCAGTATGCTGCTGCTGCTGCTAAGTCGCTTCAGACGTGTCCGACTCTGTGCGACCCCATAGACGGCAGCCCACCAGGCTCCTTTGTCCGTGGGATTCTCCAGGCAAGAACACTGGAGTGGGTTGCCATTTCCTTCTCCAAATTCTCAGTATACCAAGGGGGAAAATACTAAATCATGGCATATATGCTTTTTCCCTCTTTTTTTTTTTTGCAACTCATCAATAAAATTCTCAAAATACGGTGACTTTGAAGGATGGCTTTCTATATCAACCTNTTCTCAAAATACGGTGACTTTGAAGGATGGCTTTCTATATCAACCTAAGTATAAATGAGTCATCTAAATTTTATTTGCATTTTCTTCAAAATCAGTGCTTTGGTGATGAGCACTGGTAAAGTATAAAGAATTTTACAAAAAGATAATACAATGAAGCAAAGACCATTTCTTTTGTTAAAATATGACTTTTCAGACTCATATACTTCTTGGGGGTATGTCCATTGGTACTGTACCATCTTTATGGAAGTTTTAAAAATGAATGTTAAGAAATAATGTAAAGAATAATAGAACATGTATTCAAGACAGACGATGTTGGCTGCTGTGTTCAGAGACCTTCAGCCAGGAACCATACCAGGTGTTGGGAACAGAGTATGTATTATATAAATTAGATAAACTCAGTCCTGGGCCTCAGGGTGCTCACTGCCACAATGATTTATAGAAGCAAATCCTGGAAACAACCTGACTTCCAATAATAGGAAATTGGTTAGCTAAGTGATAACATAATCATAAAATGGAATACTCTGCATCATTAAAAATAATGTTAAGGGTCTATATTAATTAACTTGGCAAAGGACGCACACTATATTGTATTTTTTAGAATCTTTAAACAATAAGACTTTATTAATTTTATAAAAAGAAAAATCAATGAAGGTATTCTCATTTTTAAAAAGAGCCCCATTTTTAGTGTTTGATGGGTTTATAAATTACAGAAACAGCTCAATTCCAATATGTTTCTCTAACTCCCTTTCAAGAGATTTCTCTTGGTGCAACATTTCATTCACCTCTGTTTGGTTGTCTTCTTTCTGGAGAGCCTCTAATTTCTGCCTCTGCACCTCCGTGGGTTTGGCCCATTCTTTTTCAATGTCCTGTATTGCCTTAAAACAATATAAGTTGTAAAATTAGCAAACTTAACAGAAATGAATTAGCCTAACAAAAATATACTCGTGTATGAAAAGCTATAAAAACAGAACCGAGTGGGCATATATAGGATTTAGCAGGTTATAAAGGTTGCATTTAAAATTAACTGGGTGTGGGTACAATGGTTTGGGTACAACTGGTGGCACTTGGAAAAGAAAAGAAAATTCTCTCTTTCCCCACACCACCCAATCAAATAAACACAGATAGGTTAAAGATTTGAAAGTAAAAACCATAAAAGAATCAGAAGAAAGTAAGAGTGAGTATTCTTATCTGATCAATAGGAAATACCTTTATAAGATACAAAGACAAATAACATACAAATGAATATGTAATTACATAAAAATATTAAAGCTACCAAGAATAAAACTAAGAAGAAAATGGCAAACCAAGGCAAAATTGCATCATATGTGGCAAAGAGTTAATCTTATTTATGTAAAGCAATAGTAAAAATATAAATACCTCTAATAGGAAAATGAAGAAATGCTATATATCAGCAGTTAACAAAAAGGAATTCCAAATGACAAATACAGGTTGAACCTCACTAGTAATCAAAGAATCTGTTTTCCTCTCAACTTGGCGAAGACCCATCAGTTCAGTTCAGTCGCTCAGTTGTGTCCAACTCTTTGTGACCCCATGGACTGCAGCACACTAGGCTTCCCTGTCCATCACCAACTCCCTGAGCTTGCTCAAACTCATGTCCTTTGAGTCGGTGATGCCATCCAACCATCTCATCCTCTGTCATCCCCTTCTTCTCCCACCTTCAATCTTTCCCAGCATCAGGGTCTTTTCAAAAGAGTCAGTTCTTCACATCAGGTGACCAAAGTATTAGAATTTCAGCTCCAGCATCAGTTCTTCCCGTGAATATTCAGGACTGATTTCCTTTAGGATGGACTGGTTGGATCTCCTTGAAGTCCAACGGACTCTCAAGAGTCTTTTCCAACACCACAGTTCAAAAGTATCAATTCTTTGGCACTCAACTTTCTTTGTGGAGAAGGAAATGGCAACCCACTCCAGTGTTCTTGCCTGGAGAATCCCAGGGATGGGGGAGCTTGGTGGGCTGCTATGGGGTTGCACAGAGTCGGACACGACTGAAGCGACTTAGCAGCAGCAGCAGCAACTTTCTTTACAGTCCAAATCTCACATCCATACATGGCAACTGGAAAAACCATAGCTTTGACTAGGTGGACCTTTGTTGGCAAAGTAATGTCTCTGCTTTTTAATATGCTATCTAGGTTCGTCATAACTTTCCTTCCAAGGAGTAAGCGNTGTGAAATAAGTGCAATTGTGTGATAGTTAGAGCATTCTTTGGCTCAAAGAATGGTGTGATCAGATAACCACGATGGTGTGATCTCTCACCTAGAACCAGACATCCTGGAATGTGGAGTCAAGTGGCTCTTGGGAAGCATCACTACAACAAAGCTAGTGGAGGTGATGGAATTCCAGTTGATCTATTTCAAATCCTAAAAGATGATGCTGTGAAAGTGTTGCACTCAATATGCCAACAAATTTGGAAAACCCAGCAATGGCTACAGGACTGGAAAATGTCAGTTTTCATTCCAATCCCAAAGAAAGGCAATTCCAAAGAATGGAAATGTGAAGACAAATATATATATAATATTCAGAGTTGGCAAGGGTTTGAAGAAATAGGAAGTTCATATAGATTTGACACAATTTAAACAGGTACAACTTTATGGAGGTAGTTTGGCATTTAAATCTAAAACCCTCTACAGGAATGATAAACATAGATGTAAGAAAAATGTATTAATAAGGCTATTACTCCTACCATTTTTAATATTGAAAATTTTTCAACTATAAATTGTGGCAAACATATGTATAATGCTTACTGTGTGTCAGGCAATGTTCTAATTGCTCTAAAACAAAATCAACCCCAGCCCCTCCCCTCTCTGGTAACTACTAATTTGTTCTCAGTATCTACTTAGTTGCTTTTGTTTGCTTTGGTTTGTTCATTAATTTTATTATACTATTTATTTATTATTTAATTTATATTTTGATGAAATCATACATCATTTATCTTTCTACATCTAACTTATTTTAGCAAAATACACTCAAGGTCCATATGTGTTGTCACAAATGGCACAATTTCATCTTTTTTATGACTGAGTAGTATTCCACCCAAGGAATGCTTGAAGCCACCAGTAGATGAAAGAGACAAGGAATAGAAAATGCCCTATCACCTTCAGAGGGAACATGGCCCTGCCAATACCTTGATTTCAGACTTCTGACTTATGGAACTGTGAGAAAATAAATTTTTATTATTTTAGAGCTCCTCCTCCCATAAAGAAAAAGTCAATCCTCACAGCACCTTATGAAGTAGGTACTATTAATAAATGCCCCAAAATAGGTGATAGAGTTTAGGCACAACCAAGTAATAGGTTATGCTACTATTTAAAATTATGTAAAATATTTAACAACATGGGAAAAGTCTATGAGACATTGGTACATGAAAACATGTCAAGTTACAAAATAAGGGCATAGTAATCAGGTCCTGAGTTTTATAAAACAAAACAATAAATATAAACCAAGCCCCAACGACCTTGTATGTTACACTTAGGAGTCAAGAAAAATGGATGGGCACATAAGTAAAATGAATTAATAGTAAATAAAATAAAAACACTGAAAAAGTTAAGAGTTTATATGTATGGTTGATGTAAGATTTGGGATGATGTTTACTTTTGTTTTTGAGTCCTTCCATATCTGCACGTTTTTATAAGATGAAAACAAATTTTATAAGTGAAAAACAATGAGAAGTGAATACATCATCAGGCCCTGTTGGCTGGGCTTTGGGCAACGGCCACCAGCAAATGTTCCCAAATTCTGACTCCCTGATGGGCTGCTCAGTCTTCTGTCCTAGTCTGCACCGCGGGTTCAAGCCGAACAACACTGGTCTCAAAGCCAGAAATCACTGAAGACACATGCCCCCTGGATTTCCTGAACCCTCAGCAACTTTTCCTGTGCTCTTCCCCTCTTCTCCTGGCACGCAGCCTCCCGTCCCCTTTATGCTTCCTGGCCCCAGGACAGGCTCTGAGATCAGCTTTCCATCTCATCAGCTGCATACTCTTACCCTGCACTATGCCGACAGCGTGTGCTGCGCTAAGTCGCTTTAGTCGTATCCAACTCTTTGCAACCCTGCGGTCTATAGCCCCCCAGTCTCCTCTGTCCATGGGCTTCTCCAGGCAAGAATACTGGAGTGGGTTGCCATGTCTCATCCAGGGGATCTTCCTGAGCCAGGGATCAAATCTGCATCTCTTCTGTCTCCTGCATCAGCAGGTGGGTTCTTTATCACTAGCTGACATCATGCTTTATTTAATGGAGTTTTCCACTGGTCCTCAAACTGCTAACCCTTCTAGAGAAGAACCAGAGTCCTTTACCCGAGTGTATCTTGTTCAACTTCTTACATACATCAAACCCACGAACAATTCTTTGCTATCTGGTACTTTATACCTTAGTATATGATAGTCTGAATATAGTATATGAATATACTGAATACAGTATATGAATATAATATAGTATATGATAGTATATACCTTAGTCTGAATGTAAGTCTATGTGTTATGTCCCTCATATCACCGAGGGACAGGGTGTGCCTCAGCTCCAAGAAGAGAAAGAAAAGCTGAATACACTTTGACATTACTATTGAAGTTGGGGAAAAGGAGATGGATTTAAAGAGGAGAAGAAAAATAACTACTATTTGTTGAGAACCTTTTTTAGATAAGTTTTCTCATTGACTTTTTTCAAATGGTTCTGTGGGTTAGGAACATTTACGCCCATTTTAGAGATGGGTAAAATCAAGGTCCAGAGATGTTATAACTTTCAAGACAATCCAGTAAGTAAGCGGCAATGGTTGGATTAAAACCCGGATCTGACTACTCTACCAAGCCCTCCTCCTACTGCCCGAGACATTGAATTTTGACCACATAGGCAGCTACACACCCCCATATTTTCTCCTTATTGTCAACTGTTCTCAAAACTGAACTTAGATACCATACCTAAATTAAGAATGCAATTAGCATGGGTGTGAAGAATGGAACACCTTTTCTTTCATGAATTCACTTGATCTTAGAGCCCTGTAAAGACTGTTAGAACCTGGCAATGATGTCAGAGAGAAACCTGACTAAATACACAAGGTAAACAGCATTCATGGTGGTAAGTAGGTAAGTACTAACTAAAGATACATCATTCATCATTAGAGGATCTGGGACTCTCAAATGTAGAGCTTTAAATACTCTACAGGAGAGGTAAGATAAATGTTTTTGTTTTACTACCCTTGAAAACCTTTGACCCTGATTATGATTTCACAAGTCATCACTCAAATATATTATATACAGTGCCTCACTCCAGACAGTGAGAGTCAAGTTTAGATAAATGTCTTTACTCAGTTATATGGTTCCCCGAAGACTGGCTGACTGAGACTCATGTGGAACCTAATTTATAAAATTGCATGAAATCACATAAGTCACGGTTTTCATGAGCTTCAATCACACACACTCTAGTGCTCTCTGCAGTCTACAGTAGTGAGACATGGAGAGCGTGTGCCTTTTTAAACAAGGCAGCAGCCACTTGGCTCCGGGTGGTTGAGGCAGAACAGATTAAGGCTAGGGAGCACGTTGGGGCAGTACAAGGGCACCAGGCCACGGGGGGATTAGGGGGGCAGTGGTCAGCCCACACTCCCCTCACCATACCACACGCCCGCATGCACGGCTTGACCTGCCTGGGGGAAGGGGCACCTTTTTCTAATTTGCACAAATTGTAACCAGGCCAGCAGGGGCCCTGCTGAAATGTAGGCCCAAACCGGACAGAGCCTTCGGTATTTTTTAGAAAATCCAGAAACTTCTATTTTTATAGGCAATCTTCCACTTTGTTTGTGGTTTAGTTGCTAAGTCATATCCGGCTCTTGCGACCCCATGGACTGTAGCCTGCCTGGCTCCTCTGTCCATGG